CGCTCCCCGCTCCGGTGGCGAAGAGGCGCTGAAGACAAAACCCCGTCCCCGACCACAAGATGGCAGCCTGCCACGCGCAAGGACCCGCCCCCGTGACGCCGGCCAGAGCTCAGGTTTCTATTGGCCCGGAGGAGCAAGTGGGCGGGGCGGCGTGACACAGCGGCAGCAGCACCAGCTGTGACCCGAACCGGATTTGATTCCGCTCGCGGTCGCCAACGGCCCCAGCCGCCTGCCACCGAGCCCCGCCGCCGCCAACGCCGCCGCCATGGCGCTCAGCGATGCCGACGTCCAGAAGCAGGTAGGGCCGCGGGCCCCAGCCCGAACGCCGTCCTGCGGCCCCGGAGCGGGCAGCGCGGCGGCCGTTGCCAGGTCCGCCGCCTCCTCCTCCACACTGCGCTCGGCCCGGCCGGGGCCGGGACCCGGGAGCTGACGGGACGGACCCAGCGTGAGGAGAGGGGCACCCGGGGCTGGGCCGGGGTGGCGGAGGCAGCCTCCTTGCCGCTTCCTTGCCCTGAAGCCGTGCCAGGTGTGGGGCTCGGGTGTGCCTGAGCTGAAGGGCCGTTTGTCTGGTAAAAGGCCGGTCGGAGGGGGAGGGATAGTGACAGCTCTGAACCCGGCAACAGCAGAAGCGGCTGATCCACGTTTTAGTTGTGGAATAGGGTCTCCTGCTCTGGGGGTGGAAGAGTAGCGGTCTCCTGTGAAGGCAAGGGTTGGTGAAGGGGAAGGATCCTCTCTGGGAATCTTAGTGAGAAAGAAGTTTCTGAAGAAAGTGAATTTTTCCCTGGTGGGACTGATTGGCCACCCTTTGGGGAACTCTGCTGAAGCATTTTGATGACACGCTCTGCCAGGTTATAATGAAGGGGATCGTAAGTAGCTTTATGCTATCTACCGTGTTTAATTGCGCTTTAAGGCAGATAAATACATTGCCCTAGATAAGTACTGTCTTTTTAGATGTTGCTCTCCAAGGCCTTTCCATCTTTTTTTTCTTACAGCTACACTACATCTAATTAGCTGTAACTTAGCATTTGGGGAGGCAATTCAGCATTCTCGAATGCCTTTTTCACGTTTATATCCTAAGCAGAGTAGTGCAACCTGGGCTTCTCTTGCAATGGAAACTTACAACCCTGAAGTCTGACTGTGGACACTTCCTCCTGAGGCAGGACACTTTGTCCTTATTGACGGTAAACAATGCCCTTGCCTAAAAAAGCTGCTTTGAGCTGGGTTGAAAATGGTGTGCCATGTTAAAGACTGAACGGATCCAGTTGGCACTGGTCTGTGGAGTTTCCTACAGGTGATGAGCAGATCGGCCAAGTTCCTTTTGTCCTTTGCTTCATAAGTGCTTCGTGTCTCACTTTCTCATTCAGTAAACATAGTCTCTTGGCAAGGAAGCATCACATTGAAAGTAAAATCAGTAGGTTGCCTTTCTCTGAAAGGGGAATTGTAACATTACATTCTATTGCCTTTTATCCACAAAGCTTGTTTGTTTTTTTCCTGCCTCTTTCATGAAGATAATAAAAATAAAGCTGACATTGGGTTGGTCTTGCTCAGCCGCCATGGACCTGAACTTCAAAGGTTAGTTTAGGATCCGTTGATAAACTAAACATGTAATGCTAATAGTATTTCACATCTGCAACTTCCCTGTCATTGTTTTACGCTCCTGAGTCTAGGGTGATCCTGTTAACTGAAAAGAGAATGCTGCGTATGGCGCAACAGTTCTGCATGTGTATGAATCTGGAATGAATTTGCCAACTGGTCCTCTGAACTCTTAACTACTTGCCATGGTGCCTTCAGTAATCTTCACTTTGAAAATCATCTCTAATTAAGATTTTTTCCCATTGATAGACTTACTTGCTTGCTCTATTCTGTCAAAGGTGTTTGTTTAATGGATTGTTCTGTATAATCTGGCTAGTCACTTCTCGCTGAAGCCAGTCTAACATCTAGAACTTCCCATGGAAAGGATAATCACACTACTACTGATGGGAAAAACCCTCTCTTCCTTTCTGTAGGAAATCTACTATGCTAAAGTTATTAACTTCATTTAAAATTAATCTTGTTTAAAAACACATATTTTTGTCAGTGTTATTAAAACTACTCCTATTTATAGATGTGAAAGTCTCACTTAGGATCTCTTTTCATTTCTAGGGAAAGCAAAAAGGGATTTCCTACAACAGTTTTTGAAGGAAATAACACTGTTCAGTCTTACCAGACTAGGGGAAATAGATGCCTTATTAGCTTGCTTCCATCTTATTCCTCTTCATTATGCAGAGGATGTTTTTTGAACACCCGGAACTGTTTAAAGTACTTTCCCAAAATTCAGAAACCAAACCAAACTGGAGGAAGTAACTCAGTAATGTAAGGGTTACTACTACTATACAAAGTTCTTGGTCTCCTTCAACAATAGACTTTTCAGCAAAATAATTTCCTTATTTTATATGCCTTTCTTGTCCTTTCTGAAATGCAGGTAGATTTAAAGCTTGGTTTAACCAGTCATCTCATCAAGTGAGCAGGGTTGGAAACTGACGCTATAGATGGACATGCACTTGAAAGTGTTGCAAACTGGAATTGAAAGAAAAATTGCTGATTTGATTTTGAGGATGTAGATATTATTGTTCACTTCTTCCACTGCACATGCTTAAAATCTTCCGCTTGTCTGTTCACTTCTGTTTTTTCATCTATATGGGCATAGTGCTGTTCTGCACATTGGCTCAGTTTTCACATTGGCACCTTTCTTATCTCTTTAAAATATTTCACTTTAATATGAGATTATATAAATAGAGTCTTTCGTGCAAGTTTATTCAGACCAGATTGTCTGCAAAATGTGTCTTGTCACTAAGCGCAAGCAAAAAGTCAGTAGGTTTTTATAGTCTGCTCAACTGTATGGTCCACTCCATCTGACCTTGGAAATGGCTATACCTGTTTAAAGTTGCAGTCTGGCTGGGCATGAGTCGCTCACGGTCTGCCCCAAGTGTGAGCCTAAACTTAGGCCTGGTCACAGAAAGGCA